GTCTGCGTGTCCCTTCAGGGCCATTGAGTACAGAAAAACGAAAAAATTACCAAGCAAAGGTATACGTCAATTTTGTGGATTTTCACGTCTTGGATACAAAACTAAAAATTTGTTGCATAGGTATACGTCAAATTTTGCGTTTGTTTGTCCCTTAGGAGCCACCATAATATATTCATGAATTTATCACTCTCGTTTGCTTAAAAAGTACCAACAAGCTGAGGTATTTGCTACAACCATAATTGCAATGAAAAATTTAATTTATTTGGAATTCCAGAACATTAATTTCCTGTGGTACTATGTATGTTTTTCATGACTGTCAAAATGTATCAAACACTTTCCTTAGATCTTTTCATGTTTATGTTAATGAATGACTTTATCCCTCTCGTTCGCTCTCAAAATATTTAATAATTACTCCTTATTCCATAATTTATTAATACAATATAAATATAAGTGTTTTTTTTAGAAACCACTCTAAGAATCAAAGCCGTCGATTCTTTTTCAATTGTTGGGGATGAATTATTTTGGTTAAATACGATTCATACTCAAGATGCTATTAGCTCAGTCGCTAAAGCGTCTGCCTGTCGAACTAAAGATTGCGGGTTCGAATCCAGCCCAGGCGAGTGACTGATTATTGTGCCTAAGCCTTCGGAAGATATACTTTGTATGATCGAATCTCTTTGATTTAAGTGCCCCTCCCCTGACATAATATATAAACACAGGCACTGGCGTACTGGTGGGGGTGCTTGGGGGGGCTTCAGCCCCCCAAATAAAATTGAACCACGACTTTTTTTCACAAGTGATGTATATGTTCGTGATATCACATGATTTTCAACAAAATGCTAGTTTTTCCATTAATTCTTGCAAACTGACCCATTCCCCCAAAAAGCCAGGAAGAGCTTATGTTTTTATTGTCACTAAGGGCCTTATAGTAGCCACCAACAGTAACACTGGTAAAAAAATCCTTTCCAGAAGCTTTGTGCAAAGCACTGCCGGGAGATAACATGCTACCTACCACTCGGGCTGAGCGTGCACAGATATGCGAACGAGCGTTCCTTACTTACATCATGTAACACTGCACATATAGTGGGGGAAATTGAATTCAGACAAGATTAAGAGTACTAACGGTACAACGAATCGTCTTCCGCGCTTTGCACGGGAGGGGGGGGGGGGGAATTGAATTCAGACTAGGATTAAGAGTCGAGAACGGTTTTGATGAAACGCGAAAATGATTTCAGACAAGGATTAAGAGTAATAATTAAATAAAACGACAAAGCTTCCGCGCTTCGCGTGGGAGGGGAAAAACTGAATTCAGACAAATACACGATAAAATGAATCGTCTTCTTTCTCTATAAATTTAATGAAACGTGATAGCTTCCGCGCTTCGCGCAGGATGGGCGAAAATGAATTCAGACAAGGGTTAAGAGTAATAATTTATTGAAAGACAAAGTTTCCGCATTTCGCGCGGGAGGGGGACTGATTTCAGACAAGGATTAAGAGTCGAGACCGGTACAACGGATCGTCTTCTTGCTCTAATAATTAAATGAAACGTGAAAGCTTCAGCGCTTCGCGCGGGATGGACGAAAATAAATTCAGACAAGGATTAAGAGTAATAATTTATTGAAACGTCAAAGCTTATGCGCTTCGCGCGGGAGGGGGGGGGGAACTGAATTCAGACAAGGATTAAGAGTCGGGGTTGGAACAATGAATCGTCTTCTTTCTCTAATTATTAAATGAAACGTCATAGCTTCCACGCTTTGCGCAGGAGGGGCGAACCATGAATTAAGAGTCAAGAACGGTACAACGGATCGTCTTCTATCTCTAATAATATAATGAAGTGTCAAAGCTTCCGCGCTTCGCGCGGGAGGGGGGGAACTAAAAAAATTAATTAGTTCCTGGCCCCGGGTTTATGGGGTTAAAATTGTAGGCATTTGGACATTGGCATTTTTATATTTGTTGGTAATTGGTGGCTCGTTTTGTCGGTAATCGGTGGCCTCTACACCCTTCCCCCCTCCCCCACTGAAAAAGATCTAGCCGCGCCCCCGATAACGACACAGTTTATACACTCGAGATAATTTTTGCAAGTACTACAGTCAAGTACCGGCATCAAAGCATAATCTATACAACGTCTCACGACGTGTCAGATCACTTTTCTCTAACTTCTAGCGAATCCCCTCCCGCGCAAAGCGCGGAAGCTTTGCCGTTTCATTAAATTATTAAAGAAAGAAGACGATTCGTTGTACCGGTCTCTACTCTTAATCTTGTCTGAATTCAAGAAGGCCTCTTTTTTTTCCAGGAAGTGCCGGTGGACATTAATGCGCCAAATGTGGTTCTCAAATTGCAAAAGATCCCTACTCTTGGAAGGGGTAGGAGAAAGCAATTTTACGTCATATTATATTACTCCAGGAAGCAGGGGCGTCGCCAAGGGGGGGGGGTGAGGGGGTGCGACACCCCCCCCCCACCTGTCAGGATATTGTCGGTAAAATTGCGCTGCCGTCGGAAAAAAGAGAAAAGGGGGAGGGAAAAAAAGAGAGGGAAAAAAAAGAGAGGGAAAAAAGAGAGGGAAAGGGGAAAGAAAAGAAGAAAAAAAAGGAAAAGAAAAGAAAGAAAGGAAAAGAAAGGAAAGAAAAGAGAAGAAAGAAAGAGAAAAAAGAAAAAGAGGGAGGAGAGGAAAGAAAGGAAAAGAAAGAAAAAAGAAGAAAAAAGAGTGAAAGGGAAACAAACGAAACGGGAGATGAAAGAGAGGAGAGAGAAGGGAGGTAAGAGTCTGAGAGAGGAGGAGCGGGAGTAAAAGAGAGAAGGGAGTTGTTGGGTGGAGTCGTCTCGTCGAGGGAGCAAGAAAGAAACGGGTAAATATGTTGCTGTGTTGGGTCAGCTGTGTCGGTATTCTTGATCGATCCTCGTGTACTATATCAATGCAGAAGTTTGAAGTCGGTGAGATGTATATTGTCGGTCGGCCGACAAGTTTTTTTCCCTACGAACTGTGTCTTCTTATCCGCTGTGACGACTTCGAGAGTGACTACAACTACAATACTTGTTTTTTCTCGAAGTTTCACTTTTCTATAATATCAGCTAAAGAAATCAGAGGTTTAAAATTTTCAGGAAAACTAATTTCAAACAAGGTTTAAGAGTCAACAACGGTACGACGAACCGTCTTCCTTTCTCTATATTGTGATGAAACGCCAAAAAATTCCGTGCTTCGCGCGGAAGGGAAACTTCATTTAGTCGAGTCGAGAACGGTACAACGAATCCTCTTCTTTCTCTAATTATTAAATGAAACGTCATAGCTTCCGCGCTTCGCGCGAGAGGGAAAACTGAGTTCAGACAAAATTAATAGGGCTTATTTAGAGTCGAAAACGGTACAACGAATCGTGTTCTTTCTCTAATGATATGAGGAAACGTCAAAGCTTTCGCACTTTGCGCGAGAGGGGGGAAACTGAATACAGAAGAATAGGGCTTATTAAGAGTCGAAAACGGTACGACGAATCGTCTTCTTTCTCTAATAATTTTAATGAAACGTCAAAACTTCCGCGCTTCGCGCGGGAGGGGGAAGCTTCATTTAGATAAGGATTAAGAGTCGAGAACAGTACACCGAATCGTCTGCTTTTTCTCATAATTTAATGAAACGTGAAAGAGGGGGGTGGGGGATGGGAGGGGGTGGGGGAACTTCATTCAGCCAAGGATTACTAGTCGAAAACGGTACAATTAATCGTCTTCTTTTCCTTATAATTAAAGGAAACGTCTAAGCTTCCGCGATTCGCGCAGGAGGCCCATCACCCACACCCCCTAATGAGCGCGCTTTTAAGTGATTCTCTTGCACACTACCGCCCCTCCCTAAAATAAGATCCTAGCTCCGCGCCTGCATTAAAATATATAGCTATGATGCTGACTAAATTGAAGAAATAATACGTATATTTATGTCTTCGAGGAAAATGACCATTTCGCGCATATGCAAGTACTATAGATACACTGTTAAAAAAATTCTCCATAAAAATACAGAAAAGTGCCTGCAGCAGAGTCTCGAGAACTCCTGTAATTTTACAGAACTTTGTTATCACAATTCACAAGTCATCAGTTTTTTAACAGCAAATATGGAGGTGATAAATACAAATTTTCTGTTTTTTATATATATATTTTTCCAGAACTCTAGAGAACTCCAGTTTTTTTTACACCATATTTGTAACCATAATTTAAAGCTGATCTGTTTAATAACATACAATCTGTAAGTGATTATAACATTTCATTTTTGTAAAAAAAAAAGACAGAAAAGTGTCTGATTCAGGGTTTACAGGAATCCTTTAGCTTTGCCACATTTTTCTTTTCACAATTTACAATTCATCTGTTTTTTAGCCGCAAATCTGCATATGATAAATGAAATTTATTCTTAAAAAAACAGAAAGATAACTTGCCGAACTACAAGGAACTCCTGTAATTTTGCAGCAGATCTACTATCAAAATTTACAGCTCATCTTTTTAATAACAAGCCATCTGTGATACATGAAATTTATCTTTAAAATAAAGACAGAGGAGTGCCTGAATCAAGGTTTACAGGAGTGCTTTAATTTGACTACATATTTCTCTTCAAAATCTACAGTCCATCTGTTTTGAAACAGAAAATCGGCATGTAAAAAAAAAATGAATAAAAAATAAACAAAAATAAAAAATAGAAAAATTATAACGGAATGAAAAAATAATAAAAAGGGCAGGGTGCTTGCAGAAGTCTCGAGAAATTCTGTAATTTTATAGCATGATTCATAATTTACAGCCAATCTGTTTTATAACATTTGTGTGTAATAAATGAAATTTCTCATGAAATTATTTAAATTATATCCTATAGAAATCCTACAAACATGTTCATGAAAAATCTGTAAGACCTTAATGCTAGAGTGTGTATGTACAAGTTACCATCAAAACACACACTAAAAAAATAAATCTTGTGACTGCTGCAGGCACCTGCTTTAATTTTACAGATACACAAGTCAGTCAAACAAACAACTGCAACATTTTGTAGTTTTTCAAGGGTTTATTTATCATTACCAATTACAAACATGTAAATACTGATCTGCAAGGAGCTTAATCAACAGTAAAACAATAAAAGCAAACTTCAGTAAGTAGCAAATATATCAAATGTAACAAAAACTATATGGCCTAACAAACAACTGCAACATTTTGTAGTTTTAAAAGGGTTCATTTATCATTACCAATTACAAACATGTAAATACTGATCTGCAAGGAGCTTAATCAACAAGAAAACAATAAAAGCAAACTTCAGTGAGTAACAAAGATATAAAATGTAACAAAAAACTATATAGCCTACGGGGTGCCCCCCCCCCCCCATGATATGAAATCGTAAAGAGTCATGTTTAACCGAGGTATATCATTTATTGCTAATTCATGATCGACATGCCACCACTTCTGGCGCAGGTGAAATTTTATTTCCTCTCTCTCTCATGGTTTATGCAGATTTTGTGTATGATTAGCTGACAAAGATCCAGTATAAATGCACGCTTTTGGCAAAGTACTAGAAATTCATGATTTTTGCCATGGTTTAAAGCTATGGTTTAAAATCATAGCAACAAGCATGAATTGAGCGCCCTTTGCCATACAGCGTGCCTTCATATTGGACCTTTCTCAGCATACACGCTAAATTAAGCGCAAATTATACACAAAATCTACATAGACCATGATTTCACAACATTTTATTTTTATAAAATATTAAAAGGGCAATTGTATTGATTCTTTCAGACATACTGCAGAATTGATGTAGCCATGTCATACAAAAACAAAATACACTGGCGGAAATATTATTTTTGATGAAAATTAGAAAAAAGTGAAACTCTCTGTACATAACCAATGGAGAGTTGAGCACAATGACATCACAAATTCTGGCGAAGTTGCCAACTTAAGGAAGTCCATAATAAGGATTTTCTAAAACTTCAAAAATACATAACTCGAAAACGGATTATCCAAATTTGCTCAAACTTTTACTGTTAAGTCTTGTTGTTCTTCTCCATTCACTGAAATCATGTGACTGTCTAACTTTTATTCTCCTTTAAGCCTCCTTTGTGAGTTCGGGCCAAGAATATCAAATTAATATGGCCATCAGTTCTCATGATTGAAGATGGCATAATGTACATTATTTTCCTAAACAGCATACAAATGTCTATTTTTGTTCTCAAAATACCCACTTGCCTCAATGAAAAATATGTACATGTTTCCAATAAAAGATGAAGATGATGTACATAGCATAGCTGCCAACCTTTGAAAACACAAATTAGTACATACTCAGCACCTCAAAAATTTGTATTTTTCAACCGATCCTCTTCTCAACTATTTCAAAATGTAATATTGTTGTATCGCAGTATCGCAGACCCCTGGGTAGCAAAACAAATTTCCTTGCAAGTCACATGCAAGCCTAATGTGACAGGGCCTTAAGGAAATGTTGCTCTTACCAATGGTATTAATAAGTTGATCTGTGTGCTATCAGAAGTGTGTCAGGCATTGTTCATGGGACACCCTGTATATAAAGTTGACCAGGGTAAACACCAACATGGTATAATGTTTGCATACTGTAGCATATATCATCAAGAAAACACTATAAACAACCTTCAAAAGAACAAATATACAAATTATATAGGTATAAAATTATAAATAGGACCTGCTGAGGTTTTCTTACATTACCAACAAAATCTAAAAAACTCACTTTGTTCCTTGGCAAGGACTATCTTGGCTCTTTCCAAAAATCAAAGCCTTTCACATCTGGATGCATACATCCTATACTATACTAATACTTATATATATTTTATTTGCATTATGTTGGGGATGTTGAGAAAAGGCTTTCAAGATGAGGCACAAATAATAGAAATTTACAGGTTTCTTACATCACATTGTCTCATCCATGTATTCGTCACAATAAAAATCGTGCATAATAAAGCACATCTCAAAACAAATTGACAGAAGCATAAAAAATGAGAGCTGGATGTCTGCTACTCTGTTTTCCAGTCAGATTCGAACTCTACGATTCCACGAAGGAGGGCAATTATCTTTGGAGACACGGCCGATTTCTTCTTCTTCTTTCCTCCACTCTTTACTGGACTCCCAGGACTGATGCCAATGAGTTCCCTGAAAATACATACAAACAGAGATGTTATCTTGCAAATTAATCTTCATACTTCTAACTACGCTTAACTTCTCGAAATTTGAATATTGAAACGAAAGAAAATATGTCGACTTGGAAAATAATGACTTAAACAACTTGTCAAAAGTCTGTACCTTGTCTTATAGCAGGAATCCTGCTATAAATGCATCTTTTTATAGTGGCTTTCCCACATTCCCCATCGTTTTGACTATGATAAAATATGAGGATTGGCAATAAAAAGCTGCTTGCGGGATTCCTGCAGGGGGGGGGGGGGTCTGTTTCTGCTTATGTTTGTTTTATTGGTTGGATATGGCTGAAAATGAAATGATGTGAGGAGCGATTTTGTTTCCAATTCCGTTATGGACTGATACTAAGCTAGCAACTTGCAATAATCTGTATGAAATCAAAACACAAGTAGTGCTCTAACCATAAGCTGGTGATTAAAACACCTCTTCTTGCCAAAACAAAAAAAACAAATACCACCTGAAATTTATTGAAACATTTTTTGTCCTTCAAACATGAATATACAGCATTGAAATGTACGAATAATGAACAAAGTAAACAAACAAACTAACAAACAAGCAAGAAAAAAATCACAAAAGCTTTTCATACCAGTTAAGAACTCGATGTGAACAATAGCCATTCATTTAGCAACTTTTCACTTCTGACTTTGATCTGTATTCAGTAGTACTGTGCATTCAAGCATAAAATAACCATTACAAATGAGGTATCAATGTAAAGGGGAATAAATGAACCTTCCATTGATATCAAATTCAATAATCATAGAAAAGGAGCAAAAAAGATATTAAGGCTCAAAATTGATCTGCAGGACTTTTTTTGAGGAGTTTAGATTAAAGATAGAAAGAGAACAGACAAGAGAAAAGAGAGAGAGGGAGAGATGAAAGACGGTAATATATCACAAGGATACCATGGTGGAGGTTATTGTCAATATTCCGTAGGTGGTTTTCTTCCAACTCATCAAGGACAATGGAATAATGCACCACCAAGGAGAGAAGGAGAGAGCATGAATTCCTCTTGCATAGAGAGGTACAGGCACCACCCCTCATGGAATGACTTGTGTTGCAGATATTTCACACAAAACGCCAAGAATGGTTGCATCTTCCAGGTCTTTTAGGTTGAAGTCATTATGTCATGCTGTCACTATGGTAACAGACAATAATGCAACATCGAGTGGTAACTGGGGAATGTTCAGCAATGATTCTATGATTAAGGACAACACCACTGTTCTTGCCATTCATCTTGCAGCCATCATGCCCTTTCAAACTAATGATTTTTCTGTTTGTTGTTGCAACCCAACAAAAGTTAGTTAAAATACCCACCTTTGGATGAACTCCATAGTGACTGATCCCTCTGGTGGGTACTCTAGGGAAAGAGCGTAGAAACAGCAGAACAGTGTGATCACTGCTTCCCGGAATGTGGCTATTCCATCATTGACGACAGATCCTTCTATTACAAGATAATAGATGTTTCGCCCTTTGAAGATGTCTTCCCTTGATCCTGAAATATAAGGTGAGAAGTCTGATAAGGACACGTTCACGTAAAAGTGGACAGGAGGATCCAAAAAATAAGGTAGATTGATATGAAACAAATTTGGCATGATATTAAAGCCAAGACTAAATATTTTCCTGATATGAAATTTAAAAAAATTCACTTTTGCCCCCCCCCCCCCCCAAAAAAAAAACAACCAACAAAACTATGATTATGTAGTCATTATTTATTTTAAGCTTGAACTAGAGAGACAAACGTAACAAACTCAACCCATCTTTGTCATAAAAAGTAAATCGATTTGATTCTAATGATACATAAATTATGCTGTTAGAAGTTTTCAGTAACACATTTTTCTCAGTAAAGATTTTTGTTTCGCTTCAGTGACTTCATACATTTTGCAATGTACAATTAAACAATATACGATTCTTTTCACTTCCATCAATTAAAATCAATTAATTTTATGTTGTTTATGATCGAAATAGTGTTGCCAATGATTTAAATTTACAGATAAGTACAAAAAAACAACAACAAAAACAGTAAAATAAATAAGAAATGAAATATAGTACCAGAATTGTTTTAATGTACATTTGATGAGAAATCCTAAAAAGATGGTCAGTAGCAAAAGTTAGATAGTTCATGATCTTTATTTTAGATTTACAGCCATTTAAAATAAATTATGTATGAATTAGTATAAATTAAAATAAATTGTAATTAACTTTTGACAATAAACTATACAATTTTGAAGATTACATTCTGGGTAGGGTGTGTGCCAATTGCTGTTGCGATCGTGCATTCAACAGCCAAAACCTTTAAGGGGGCCCTTTTGGCACAGCCCCCCCCCCCCCCCTATCTCGAGGGTTACAATCTGTCCTTTCATTACCATCATTCAGTAATAGGAGTTCCCTTTAAAACCTTGGCCATTAGTTGTGGAATCACACCGAAAGCCGACATGCTCATAACCCTCTTACAGTCAAATTCAAAAACAAATAGTAATTACTTTAAATAGGCAAATGGTAACTCAACGCAGTGTACAGCGTTATGCACGCGGGTCTTTTTTATTCACAGCCTTTTTAGAAATAGCGTTATCGACTCGGCGCGCATGTGTATTGCCAATGTAAAGTCGGCAATATTTTAAGCCCTCTATTGGCACAAAAATGTCAACAGGTTTTTGCAAGTCTGCCTCGCAATTAGTGGTCAATATACTATCTTGTAGATCTAGTTTATTTACCACTTGCTTAGCAGGTGTGCCGGACACCCAACTCCCATCCTACGTTTTTAGATCCAAGGACCAAAGACAAAGTCCAGAGACCAAACCACGTGTGTGAGAACGTTTGGCATTTTCGATCTTGTAGATCATTAAATAGACCTAGTCCTAGACTAGACTCTAGTCTAGTCTAGAGTCTACTAGATTCTACTAGAGTTTTAGACCGATTAAATCTGTCTCTGTTTTGGGGGGCCTAGTATTTACAGTACGGTCATTAATCGGGCGGCCCTCCCCGTTAATGACCGTACTGTAAATACTAGGTCCCCCAAACATAGACCGAAGGCTCCGGCCGTGTGTGTCGCTCTCAGTCATTAACATACGGACATTCTCTTTTTACCCTCTCTCCACTCAGAGGGTAAAAAGAGAATGTCCGTATATGTTAATGACTGAGAGCGACACACACGGCCGGAGCCTTCGGTCTACCCCAAACAGAGACAGATTTAATCGGTCTAGCTTACTTTACTAGAGTTTAAGCATAAATTCTCGAGTTCTATCCGACTTAAATCTCATCGTGGTGATCACCAACAAACTCAATTCTTAATACTATAAACACTACATTGAAATTCTTGTTATAATACCTAACGAAAAAGAGACTTTAATTGACAATCGACTTACCCAATCCAATTCAAATCACAGGCAGGCCCAGGCTCAGCTCACGAACGAACTTCGCAGGTATGTACTGCATGCATTATGTACATAGATCAGACTACACTATGAACATGACAGACAATAAAAGCGGACAAAATATACAGTTCCTCAGGTAGACAAAGGGACAGCCCTTCACTGCTATTATGTAAAAATGTGTAGAACAGGTGTCACATGCATATTCACCTGTTCTACACATTTTTACATAATAGCAGTGAAGGGATGTTCCTTTGTTTTCCTGAGGAACTGTATATTTTGTCCGCTTTCATTGTCTGTCATGTTCATAGTGCTAACTAGATAACTTCTATGCTGCACTCACGTGTGTGCGCAGCATATAATTAGCTCCTACGCACGAGCGCGCGCCAGCTGGTAGACGCGCATGCGCAAATGCGCGCATTTGTTTACATAATATTATCAAAGATGACTCATTTATTGCCTATTTTGAACGGATGTTCCCACGCCGCCCTCATCCAAATCAATGTTGCAACCACGTGACTCGCAATCAGATGCTCTCGATTCCCAATTCCCACTATGGGGAAAACAAACTTTTGTATTTTAATACTTTGTTTTGGCAACTATAAATACCCTTATTTTTCATTAATTACATAAATAAATTTTTTGGTAAAATAGCCCTTTTTAAAATAACCATGGCAACAAAGAAACAGTTTTTTGCATTTAGGGAATGAATGACTTCGAAAGAGACTGACCCATGACGTCATTTCATACGTAACGATAGAAATCCTACTTTTTATTACTGGTAGCTACCACCGCTGGAAATCCATGTTAAATCATGAAGGTAAAATACAAATATACTTTATTTACTGTTTTATTTACATATAAACATGTGTATCAATGTAATATATGTTTATTTTTATCAACTCTGATTAGCCTTAATTCATATTTTTGTATCGAAGTTTTCAAACGTTTTCGCATTCCGTGCATAGCCACTGTATACAGTACTGTAGCTAGGCCGTAGTACTGTAGCTAGGCAGTAGCATTGTAGCAGCAGGTGTATTGGAATGGGGTTCCATTACGTGTGTATAGCAGGTGTATGTGGAGCAACAGTACCCATTCCGGATCCGGTGCCAGTATAGTAAACACGTATATAAGGCGGATGGCGGGACCTGCTACAGTGCTACACAGTAATTTTTGTTATGAATATGAATATTACTGATTATATCCCGATTTATATTAAAATGCCTTCAGAAAGGCCAACAACTGGTTTCTGTACATTTGTAGAAGCCTGGCTTTGATATGATCTTTTTGGGGGCTAGCTGGTGCAGCCCCATTTTCTTGTATCCACGAAATGACGAACTATACATTTCCTATCATTCATAAGTGTAGTAATAGGGTTGCCATGATTGTTAACAAAGAAATTGCCCATGATCAGACTTAGTACCAAGGGATTCTAATAATTTTATTGAAAAAAAGAAAACTTAACAATTTATATAAATATTAGTATACCGACAGATATCGACAGATATCGACAGATTTAAAATGATTTGGAATTTTGGGTTGTGGCCTAGTTACAGTAGATTTTAAAAATGAAACAGGAAACCCATAATAGCCATCTTTTCGGTGGTGACCCCTTTTTGTGGCTGTGAATGAAAATGTTAATAATTTGTTTTTCCACAACTCGAAATTAAGTTGAAACAAGGCAAAGCCGCAGTCAACCTCGGGCTCAAGCATCATCCAATCGTTCGCAGACAACACTCTGACAGACATTTCTTCATAAGTTAGCAGGTTTGTTATCTCAGTTAATAAAAATAATGATCATTATTAGATTATTATTGTTTTTAAATACTTTTTATTTCAATCTGTGAAACAAGATCAATATTGAAGAGTACAGTCAATGAATGCAAGTCAACAGAATACAAATATATAAGACGGTATAATCACAAACATGAAGACTAGAATACACAAAACAGGAGTCAAAATTACAAATTATATCTTATTCAGTCACATATAAATAATATATAATACCATAATATTTCTTCATTATTTCAATTCATCTTCTTTAAATATACATTAGAACAAGCAGTGCCTGCTAATCAACCTAGATAACATTTTTTGTTTTAATACACCGAATTAACATTTCATCGTACCAAAGTACGGGATCATTATTACTCCTTTGATTTTCAGAGTCCGGTTGTACTTGATAATCTTTATCATGTCTGCACAGGAATAAAAGATCGATGCGACCAAGCGATTTACAGGCTGGTCCTGCTGGAATGCCTCAAGCTGGCCTTCAAGGTATTGCAGTTGCTTTTAAAGATTAAAAAAAAATTCCCTGAAATCATACTTATCAATCTGCCAGATAGTGAAACCATGGTGTATGTAAATTCAGAATAGTCTAAATAAAATTAAATACTCAAAGAGATCCGGTAACTTTGTCTTAGATCCTTTAAAGGCACACTGCCATACTTGTAGCTACTTGCTCCCTCTATATAGAAAACTTCCCCAATCGGTGCCTGTTGGTCCCCCATGATCCTCTTTTTCTTATGTTAAATGAGAGCTGAGTTAATGAGATAGCCACCTGTCACAGTGACCTCGACGGCTCTCTGTGTGGTCTAATCCCTTCTGGCCCAGTAGTGGTGACGGCCTTTAAAAAAATCCTTGATTTAGCTCATGCTGCAATGATAATTATAAACCTTTAGGTCAGTCAGGAACTCCATGACTTTTACAAGCCGGTCTCCTGTCTGATTATCACGATATTTATGATTGAAAATGGAAATCAAATTTTGTGTTTGCCAAACAGTTTTCATAACACTACAGTCTATTGGGGAAAACGAGTATGGTAAAACCGTTCACTCAAAGGTGTTTACTCTTTTGAGGCACTTCATGATCATTTTGAAGTGCAATTATTTTAGGGCTTCAATATAACACCATATCACAGACACTGATAACACGTAGGGCCGTGCATCTCAGATTTAACATTGTTAAACAATTCCTTTAATATGGGTATGTGGGACCTATTTCAATTGTTGAATTTTTTGCTATGACTAACGATAAAAATCTCTATTATAATCTCAAAACATACAAAAATTCAATGCATTTATGGTGAATTACTAACCACATACACTGGAAATGGAATGTTCTTTCAGGTGGAATTAAATGATAGCTCTCAAAGGAGATCACTTTCATTCTTGACCAGTACTCTTGACCAGTACCTGTAAAGGTGAATTACATGTATAGTTTGTATGTCTGGGGGTTACTGGCCAGCCATTGGCCTCTGACACTCCTCAAGAGCAGGTCCAGGTCATTGTTATAACCTCGCAGGTCCCTCTTGATATTGTTTATCTGCGCATGGACACTCTCCCCTCCTTGTTCCCCCATCGTTCCCATCGTTGCTCGCCATCTTCGAAGCCATGGCACAATGTGTTCCTCGAGGAGGTGCATTTTGGGGGGCACTGATTCGGTGGGGAAATTGGTTCTAAAGAAGTGGAGGTAGTCCTTGATGTTACTCTCTGTAGAAAAGAAAATAATGAGTATGGGTTTATAAATGCACATTTTCTGTTCTACATTCTTGGCTTAAAGATTCTGATGATGAATAAATCTTAGCATATTAGGTACAAGTTTATTTGGTTGTGCATGACAGATCAAGGGAGTGTATGCATTGACAGAGGGGGGGGGGGGGGGATAATACCTAAAATACCCTTCCCTTTTATCAAGTACCAATTTATAAAGTGCCTCATGAGTAAAAAGCATAATTGTTTACTTTTAATTTTTTAATATGAATTTATTCAAGTTTTTTAAGACCTTTATCTACCTAGTTCATTTATTTTGTCGTCCTTCAGAAACCCACATGTGTTGATGGCAACATGACAGCGACCAAAGAGAGTGAAAAGATTGCGGTACGTAGCTGCAACCCGTTCTGCTTCCCTGATGAGTGGCTCACTGTCTGGACACAGCTGTTTCATTGTATCAGCTACTCTTGTCGTAAGTCTGATGATGTTGTCAGGCTGTAAGGATACATGAAGATATGATATCAATTAGAATAGAGTTATGGCCATTATTCTGTGAGGAAGAAATAAATTTTTCACATGTTATTTTCAACTTGCACATTTGGTGCCATGCACTTGTAGTTGTAGTAAAAGAGGCTCTACTATACTCACTTTGAGGCACTTGTGAACGTGGTTGCCTATAAAACTCTTTCCGTGATATGCCTGTCTCTGCACATGCATATCTTGCAAGGCTTGATCCAAACTGGCTGCTATCATCCCACTGGCTACGGAAACCTTTGATGACTTGTTCAGGTCAACTTTCTGTATTGGTAAGACAAAGAGAAACCTCAGACTTTATAATGATATCAGCTATACAAGCAAATTGGATTTAATAGGGGAGAGGATAAGCTGTTAGTTTATTGAATACATGTATTATACAGTGTATAAAAAGAAATCAATACGCACCACATCATTTATCTCGGAATCCTTTTCCTTGACAGATTCTTGGAGAAGTTGGACCGGTTGAGAAGCAGCTTCCTCAGGATAAAGGAGAATGAAGCATGATAGCTGCTCCATCAAATCCTTGCGCTCCTCTTCCTTCTCTGCCAGCATAGCCTCCAGTCGATGTCGCTCCACCATGTTGATCATGTTCTTCGATAGGTTGCTTGGGGCGTCCTGGGGAGCGAGGTACGCCACAGTCTGGATGTCTAGCTGGTGGCATGCCTTCTCCATACTGTTAAAGTGCTTCAAAAACAACCCGAGACTGATGTGTAGGCCAGGGGGGCATACCTGCAAGAAAAGAAAGAGTAAATGAATGAATCAATTGCATGCATGTTGATTGAATGTTGAAAGGAAAAAATGGTCATATGTAGAAATTAGATTTTTATTACAACTTTTGTCATACCTGATCGATGGGGATTGTAACAAGGGGCTGCCGCACTACGTTGAAGTGGTCCTTTGCACTTTTGGAGCCAGAGTGCTGGAACTGGTGGAGGTGTTCCTCAAGAGTTGCTAGAGTCCTACTCTGTCTCTCCCCTCTTTCAGTTGCTGGCTTCATCATGTCCTGCTTGCTGACAAGACAGTAGAGGCAGCAGTGACGACCTTGATAGAGGGGGAGGGGGATGAATATACATTAAATTTTGTCCTGATGTGGGATAATGAGGGAACATCATGATAAAGGTAGTATTAAAGTCATTTATTTAATGATTTTCCCTTCCCATATCAAATCATGCAAAAATAAGTTTTGTTCCTTCTAAAATTGCACTTACCATTTGGACCTGTTAAGCCATAGATTTTGGAGAGGTACTCATAGTCTCCAAAGTGGAATGCTCGCAGTGGTCTGCCTCTGAGGAAGAAGAGAGGAATTGTTGACTTGAATTAAACTTGTGCCAGCTGTTCATGAATTATGTACCATTTCATATTATTGAGGCCTTATATGTTTTGAATTGCACTAATGCATTGTTTTCTTGTTGTTTATCCTCGTACCATTTTATCTGTTACTTTCCATTATGGTATTTATATACTTATTTATCTTTTTCATCTACATGTATATAATTATATTATAATTTTTTTTATATCATTTTCTACAGGATTTTAGAAAGCCTCTGCCTGCAGGATACTATCAATCATTATCTTCAAATATATAAGGTATGTAAATATTAGACAAAGACAACTGTACCTCCATGTTGTAGTTGTGAGATGTTCTATCTCGGCCGAAAACCCCTGAAGAGCCAGCTGTAAATTAAATATATTATCTACAGCATCAAACATCAGGACGATTGTTGTGTTCTGGACACTGTTGGGCTTGGACACATTTGCGATTTGCATCATCATTTTGAAGGAGGAACCTCCCTTGTCACCGCCAACCTTTAACCATACCTCCCCTCCTGTGTCGTCAAAGGATAGAAGGTTCAGCCTGTGGAGAAGAGATGGGAAAATGAATGTTAGATTTGCTGTTACTATCCGAACAAGCAATGTATATTTTATGGAGTAATATTGCAGATAGTAATAAAAACATTAGTGGGTATAGTGACTTACTTCTCGTATTCGTCCAGGAGGGACATGACCTTCCTCTCCAATGAGGTAACTTTGACAAGTGGAGTCTTGATAATCTCCGTCTCCTTCCTCTCCTCGTTATGGAATTGGAGGGGAACCCATTCCCCCTCCAGGTTGTCCCCGATCAATTTCGCCTCTTGGGCCCGCACCTTCTTTTCACAATCGGAAGCAATGTTGTGTTCCTTAAGCCATCTGAAAAAAAGAATAACAAAATTATTAACTGCTTGACTTCTTGGTGTTTCCCCTCTTCCCCGCAAAATGTAAAGTTCTTAAAAAGAATTAATGTTGTCACAAACTGATATTTAATAAGAATGTTAAATGATAAAAGTTCATAGACTACTAGTACCACTGCCAAAAATGTGTTCCTTACGATTTTAGTTTTCTTGTCATCTTCCAGCTTAGCCGAAGCATGGACCTCATGTTGACCATGTCTATGTCGTTGATTTTGACGCTGGAGGATGGGTCATCCAGAGCCCCTGCCTTGTGAGCCCTGGAGACTTCGTGCCTAAACTGGACGTCTGGTGAGTGGGAGATCTCATCCCGGATGGCAGCAAGTTGCATGCTTCTTCTTCGCCTTGTTGATGGAGTGCTGTCTGCAGAGCTTATTCTGGGCTTAGTTATCAGTTTCGTAACCAGGGGCTTTTCATATGTGAAGAAATGCAGGAAAAAAAGTTAAAATGATTATCTTAATATTATAGTACAACATTTGTTGTAGAGATCATGACCCAGTTTTCATGATGGGGAACAAATAGAACAGGAAAGTTTTGGAAGGGGTATTCCACATGGCACAAAAACAAAATATGAAATGAAATCATTTAAATGTCGACAAAGATCAGCAAATGATTTTTTCCCCTTCATGATATCAACTAAATTAGAGCAAGACTTGATTAAAATGATATATTACGAGTATAATTTCTGTACTGCCATGTATTGTGTTCTTTAATCTTAAATACAGTTCCCTTTGTGAGAAGTTGTCCCTTTAACCTTATATTATAATTGCATTTGACCATAGGACAAATTTAGTAGCTTAAGGACAGTTGTGAAACTTACCATGTTTATATAACCTTTGTTAACTGTGAAAGTTTAACATGATGGCAAACCTGCATAAAAATTTAATACAGTTCATTTGATGATTAGCTCCCTTAAATCTATTCATTTTTTTTTTTAACTTGGATACATGTAATGTTAATACCAGCAGATTGTAAGTATGAAAGATATTTGAAAAAAAAAGGAAAAAAAGATGCGACTTACTTGTCCTTTTGTTCTAAATACAGCAGTAGCACCATCATTAGAAGTACGTAATTTTTCTCGGAGTAGTACGGTACCAATTTCCTCCTTCTGCTGAGGGGTGAGTTGGCTTATGAGGTTGTCAGTGGTTTGTTTGTGATCAGTATGTGTGATTGTTGGATGGTGTGAAGGATGGCTGTGATGTGTGGCTATGTCATATGTGAGGTTTGTGTTGCATTGCTTGCATGATATGTCTGATTTTTTAAGAATGTTATGGAAGTATGTGGGTGCTGGAGTTAGTGACTGGAAATGTACGTGTGAATGGCAGGTGGGGCATGAAATATTTACACGAGAATCGGACCCAAACAAGTTTTGTACACAAGACATACAAAACAAATGTTGACATGGTGTTGAAACGGGACAAACAAAGACACATTCACATACTCTACAACAAAATTGACTGTCATTGGGTACCCCAAACCTCTCTTTAAACAAAACTTCATCATCAATTGCAATGTCGGGCACCCTTGAATTAGCTTTCAAGGAGTCGAGGGTGGCATGAAGTGATCGGTCTATCCTGGGACGACCTGTGCTTTTTTTCTTAGAAGGGCGCCCTCCAACTGACATTTTTTTAGAATGGGAACACACCACACAGGTTTGACTTCGTCTGTGTGGTGCCCAGATAGCTGTTGGCACCCATTTTTTGTTTCTGGGCGATTTCATCCCAGTGTAGCACCCCTTGCAAAATGCCTTAGGATGGATGTCGGGCTCATCATTCTCTACTGAAACAAACTTACTTATTAAAACAAGATAATCAGCTATGTCAAATGATGCAGGGTGTTTGGTGAGCATTTGGCCGCAAAGCCTACAAAGCTTTGCCAAATGGGCCAAATGCTCATCCAACCCCCCACCCCCCTCCAATCCCCCTCCCCCCTCCCCACCTTGACTCCCAGGCCTGTGCTTACACGACATTAAAGGGGTGGGGCCACAGTGATGGTGTGAAAGGGGTTAAGTGAGGCCGATGATAAGATGAGAGTTATTGACAGATAAAAAAAGTAGGAAGCATAGAGACCAAAAAAGGGATTAGGAAGAACACTTTGACAACTTAAAACAGAATGCCACCAGCCCTTTAAAACTCTTGACTTTTTGTGATAATACTATAAAAAGTTTGTTGATAAAATGATGAAAAACTATAGTGTAAAAGCTCACCCCCGCCGTACGTAACAATGATCGTCAACGTACGCGGGGATTCCAAGAAAATTCTATGACCTCATATGATTAACATGACGTATACGTTTTGTATTGTTGATCTGACATCTCATTGGTCAAATCACAGGTCTAAACTTGTCCAAAAGTTTGTTTACCCTACCCCCTTTCAAATGAACTTTGAGTTTCCCGCGCCCGCGAAATGAACTTGAAATGTAAACAAATGTCGCCCTCAGCGGCCAATCTTGGACAGTCTTAATCATCACACGGTCAATGTGCAGTGCGCGTACGTGCACTGTACATGTACGTACGTACACATCATGGTAAACATGCACAATTAATGCATGGCGCGCGCGTGCGAGTGCAAGCAGCTAGCAAGCTATAGCTGGCGCTGGCCCGGCGCGCCCGGCCGGTTCGTTCTGATCTGATCGATCGCCATGCATGCATATATGGGCGCGAACGAAGTGCACGCATGCATGTTACACGCTATCGCTAACGGTAACAAAAAAGTTGGCGGCAAGAAAAAAGAAAAGAAAGAAAAAATAAAATAAAAAAACAGAAATCTGAATAAGATATGAAAGCACTATTAAAACTTCCTGTTAGAAAAAAGAAAAAAAGAATAGAAAAGAAGAAAAAGAAGAAGATTAAGAAGATGCAGAAAAATTACGGTACCGGTATAGTTACAGTTTCAGTTCGTGGGAGTTCGTGTTGTTTTTATGGCATAAAAAAAAAAGATTTCTGAGAGGTCTACATGAACTTTGAAGTATATATATAATTATGCCTAGCCTACTAAAATTTAGGCCTATATAAAGCATAACCTCTGATAAAAGCAGACTAATTTCCGGTAAAAACGAAATCTTCTTTCCCTTTTAAATGTGCCCGAATTCGGCAGCTTGAGTCAATTAACAGAAAGGTTTTGTATTTTTACCGCAAATTATTTTACGTTGTTGAGTTTAAGGCATTAAAAGGCAGTTAAGGTCTTTTTTTTTTTTAATTGAAAAAGGTATTTTGTAGAACATTAAATATCTATAGGGGATCTGAATGTCCTTGAAAAAAAACCCTCATCAACTTCTTTTTTAGATTTCTGTCAAATTGCAGTGAAATTCAGCTATTAATTTTACAGAATTGTTTACGGTATTTTCCTCTATAAATTCTGTCTTTTTTATTCATTAAACTAAATGAGATTGCTTTGAATAAATCGACACTTTGTAGAATTAAAAGCAAAATCTGCTTAAAAACATAGGCCTACGAATTTCCATAAAGAAAAAAACAATCCTTTTTTTAGAGAGGGAGAGAGATCCGTCCTTTTCACAGCAGAAAATGTCAAGTAACATTAATTATCAGAGTGGTTCTGTATTATTGTTTCCTGTATTTTTTTTATTCATTAAAACATGAGGTTTACTTTGAATAAAAAGACACTCCATTTATTTACATGGGATCTTCTTTTTAGAGATCTGTTAAATTGCAGAAAGTTTCTAGTTTACATTTTTACAGAATGAATCTGTATTTTAATTTCTGTAGATTCTTTCTTTTTATTCATTAAAACATGAGGTTTACTTTGAAAAAAAAAAACGCTCTGTAGAATCATAATAAATCTGCATATTGGATCTGAAAGCATACAGAATTCCTATTAAAAAAAAACATCTCCCCTTCTTATAGAAATCTGTCCTGTTAAATTGCAGAAAATTCCAGTTACATCAATTTACAGAATGGTTCTGTATTTTTGTTTTCTGTAATTTCTTTTTTATTATCCGTTAAAAAATGAAGTTTTCTTAATAAAAAAAGAACATTCCGTAGAATTGTAAAAAATCTGTATATGGGATCTGAAATCACGCAAATTGCCTGTAAAAAAACAAAATCTTCATTTTTTCTAGACATTTGTCCTGTTAAATTACAGAAAATTTGCTGTTACAACACTTTAAAGAATGGTTCTGTATTTTTTTCTCTGTAAAATCTACTGTTTTTTTTAACAGTGTAGTCCATATGAAATTTTTTTTAAGCTTCGGCCCCGGGTTTATAGGGTTATTTGTAGATATTGAACATTTAATTTTGTCGGTAATTGGTGGCTAGTTTTGTCGGTAATCGGTGGCCTCTACACCCCCCCCCCCCCACTAAAAAAGGTCTAGCGACGCCCCTGCCAGGAAGTGCCTGAAAATACGTCTAATTTGGTTTTAAAATTGCAAACGCTTCTTACTCTGGGAGGGGGCCAGAACCCCCTCCCAGACCCACCCCCTGCTTGGTCACTCCACTCCCTCGCCGTTAAAGCCTCGTTCTGTCGCTTCATCGTTTTACATTTCAACCCTTGCCATTTTGTGCCCCCCCCCGTAAGAAATTCCTGGATCCGCCACTGATGCCCATACCCATTGAGCTTAGGGGCTCCGCCCCTTGACCCCCGCCGGGCTTTGCCACTAGACCCAATTTCGAGAAACGTTCAGCAGGGACTGCATGTTAGAGTGGGGGTGATTTGGATTTTTTTTTGTCAGCCCCCCCAAACGTTTTTGCTTATTACGCCACTGAACACAGGCCAGGTCATGGTGGAAAAGTCCTCATCCCGGGAAAAGGATGTTAATGGAGGCCTACCAGTAATGTGTAGAAGAGTTCCCAACCTACGAATGGTTATTATGAAAACTTAAGGTTTAAAAACAAAGAAGTACTCTTCATAAGACAATTAGGGGTGGGGTCAGGGGGTGGGGTCAGGGGATGGGGTCAGGGTGGTGGTTGAAACCATTGAGACAGGGCCCGCACGTGACATCTCGATCATTCCGGGACGAAAAACCCCGAAGATAATATCAATTGAATTCTTTATTTCCCCTTCCCTGTCAGGCAACTCCAAATAAAAATAGAAATATGGCAAACGCAAGGGACTCAAACTTGGCTAATAATACACTCTGGCTTTTGTAGTTCATGCTACCATACTACCATGGACAAATCAGGGCCGGGAGCATGAGCGGAATGTCATATCATAATGTTGTGGTATTGGGCGAGGGAGCGTAGCGACCAAGCGAGATATTGCCATTTTGAATGCTGAAATTATGCGTTCTAGAAAACCCAAAGCCAATATGTACGTTCTTTCCGCTATATTTCTTTCTAGCCATATTTGAAATTTTCGGGGGGGGGGGGCGTGTCCCCCAATCGGGCCCAGAATCGCCGCCCCTGTCCATGATTACTATACCAACATGAGTTCAAATACCAGCACTAGCGAGTTAGCACGAGCTGATGCCAAATGAAGGGCAAAATTAAAGTGGTGAAGCGGCCCCTCTATACCATTGATTTAACATTTGACTGTTGAGTATGTAGCTTCTAAAGACATCCAAAATAATGTGCCCTCTTCAATTTCTCACCAAAAAGTGATGACTTTTGTAGCGCAGGGGCTGATTTTAACGTTTTAATTCGAATCCGCGGCTCGGGATTTATGCTGCCGGCCCCCTTTATTCAACACGTCTCCCAAACCTTCTGGAATGACCCCCAATCCCCCGATTACAGTTCCTCTTTGTAGGGACGGGCGCTGCTATATCTTGAATGCTTTTACATGAACATTTTTAAATAAATATATTATGCTGGATTCCGATCCAGATGGCACAACATAAAACGAAAGGATGACCATCCCCATATAGGAGCCGAGGGTTGTGGAACAGCATAATCGCCAAAGTCAAACGATATGGCACTTAAAGAGAGAGAGAGAGAGAGAGAGATTATCATAAACACACGACCAGTTATGCTATGGTCACATTACCCAAAAGTAGTCTGCTCGGCGGCCGAGCGGCGAGTTTTTAACCACTTCTGCCCGGCGGCTGCCCGGCCACCGAGCGGCGGCCGCCCAGGCACCGCTCGTTTGTAGGGCATCGCTCGGTCGCCGCTGAAGTTTTAGCGCGGAGTTAAAATTTGGGCGGCGCCTGCTCACTTTTCATTCGCCGTCCAAAATACGCTCGGTGCCTGGGCGGTCGCCGCCCGGGCACCGACCTAATCGCTGGGCGATGCCTAATTCCAGCAGCGACCGAGCAGGCTACTGATCGGTCGGTCGCTGCTCTGATTTGTGACCATATATTTAGCAGAGTCTAAAGATGCGCCAAGACTGGCAATGTTTTTATGGTTAGGTCTGCGTCTTGATGGTCTGTGCAGATTATTTAATGAGTGCTTAAGCGTAAAATGTGACATAATAGGAAAATGATCCGTTATATCGAATAGAATTACAGAAGAGTCTGGGGTAGGAAAAGTATTGCAAAAAACATTATCAATAAGGGTGGCGGAATGATTTGCCATACGAGTGGGTGTCGATATCAAAGGTAAGAACGAGGCAGTCAAAAATATTTCAAGAAATTCATGGGATATATTGTTATTATGCTTTAAATTATCAATATCAAAATCTACCATTTTGAAAATGTCTTTGTTTACAAAAATTGGATTCTTTAGTAAATCTGTAAGGTACACTAGGAAATAATTTTGATGCGAACTAGGAGGTCTTTTTTTACATAATGCCCGTGATTTCCGGAACATTGATTTCGATAAAAAGAGACTCCAGTGTTTCGTTCATTGCATTAATTTCATTAAGAATTGAATAGTCGTACTTGTGTGAAACAAAAAATACAACACCCGCCGGGTCTGTTTTTTTCTAATATTGATAACAAGATCATAACCATCTAATGCAAATGGTAGGATTGATTCACTGGATAACCAAGTTTCCGTATTAAAGTCCTTTTATGGACAATGACTGTTTGGATGGGTTATCCAATAATAATAGAAATTCTTCAAAGTGTTTATTTTGGGCTTCTAGTGTTTAAGTGCAATAGCGAAAATGTGTTTATAGCAATTAAATTGCTCAACGAGGTTTTTAAATTGGGACTCGGTTACATATTCAGATGAAGGGCTTTGAATTTGGTCATGGTCAGGGTAAAAATCTCAAATTTCCGTTGATGAGTTTATATTATTTACTACAAAATGGTTATACGCTAAATCAGTTGAAGAATAATCATTCGAGAGATTTGTCGATGAAGGGTCAAGTGAATCAAAAAGGTCATCATCATTTAAAGAATAGCATGGCATATCAGCTAAGTGGGCAATTGACGTACATGCAGTCAACATCTCAATAATTATGATATTGCATTTTGGGCTTTGGGTTTGTAGCAATAAGCAAGCAATTGGGCGGCAACCGTCCTGCGTGGAGACTTACAACGTTTTACATGTGGACAAGCACATATACAAAAACACGTGAATACAGAGAACAGAACACCGACACCATACAGCAGAGAAGGGGTTGCACGCAAGAAGGACATGACACAAAGAGAGGAAGAAAAAGTACAAGTAGAGACAACGTTCCACAGAAGTCCTCGTAGGCAGAGCGAACGAACGAGCCAATGCACAATAACAATAATATTGTGGAGCATCTTAGCAAATCAGTGTATTCAATATCTTTAGCGCAGTACCCGGATGACACATCAGTACTGCTTTTGTATAGCTCAGTCATTCGGGAACTTGAACTGTCGATACCAATACTGGAACATTTACCGAGGTAAGTCAAATTTTGTTATTTCGCTAGTCATCCTGATATATAGATATAGATAATAATAATATTGTATGGCTTTGTTTTTGTGTGATACTAGATGTATATAAATATTGCTCTTGCTATGACAATATATTCTTGGATCGCACTCAAAGTTATCCAATATTATATAAGTAATGGGAATTTAGAAAATAGGTTAGACAATGATTCTATAGTTAGTTTTTTAATGTCCATGTGGATTAATTATAAACAGTAAATAACCGAAGATTTAGCCCCTAAAAATCTTGTTTTCTAGAAAATAATTAAAGAAATGTATCGGTGTCGCGGTATCAATAATTTTATCAATTGGCAAAATTTACATTTTCAGAGAAAAATTGCCCTTTTTCTATATTATATATTTATTTACAGAGAGAGACACAGAGAGCCGAAACTCCCCTTTTTTGTTTTATGAATTGCACCGTCGGGGGCAAAGTGCCATACTCAAGTTGGGCAAAGTGCCCTACTATAGAGGCAATTATTAAAATTCCTCTTTAGTGACGAAAAGTGCGCCGTTAGGAGCAAATTTCTTAATTTCATAGATGCAAAAGTGTCTTTTTATAGAGCCGGCATTGAATCAGCCAGTTGTAGCTATTGAAGATATAAAACAAAGCCCCGTCCCCCTGCCTGCTTGTCGACGCCCGTGTTCAAGCAAGGGATGTTTGGGAAGTGCGAGGAGCCCGGGTGTGTTTCGTCATGTTTATTTTTTGCGTGACTTTGGTTGTGAGTGATGTGTTCAAGAGTAGATGTTTGTTATGGGCCAAACCGATAATAACTAGAATTTCAATTTGGTAAGGGCGCCAAACACAACAAAGAGAGTATTAGTAACATGCCTACATGAATTTAACTTCGATTTCAACGGAGATAAGTTAGTGTTGGATGGCAATCCTTAGTCTGTAAACAAGATATAAAGAGCATTAACTGGTTGAACGCATCCCGTTGGATTTAAAAATCCCTCAACACCGCCAAAAATAATATATTTCCATTCCATTCAAGAGTATATGATGTTCATCCATCTTACCTCTCTTCTGTTAAACTATGTCCAATTTGCAGGCCAAAAAAATGAAAAGGTTAAACTCCAACGGCATTTGAAGATAATGCTAATTTAGAACTTCCCTAAAAAAAAGGGGGCTTGAAAATGTCTTTAAGTGGGAAAATAACGACTATTAGTTATCGACTTATAAGCTATATTGTTGTTGTTGTTGTTTTGTTTTATAGGCGTTTGTCATTCAGAAGTGAATATTTACGCCTCTTCTCTTAGGAATTTTTTCCCTTTAAAATTAGATTTTTTTTTTTTTTAATATACAGATTTGGATAAATTGGATTTTTAAAAGTTAAACTGTTTATATTGAAGAATTCAGTGGCTGGCGAGCAAAAGGCCTATCGGCTATATAGGACGCCCAAGGACCAGCTCGGACACGGTACATTGTGTCAAGCTTCTCAACTCAGCCTAATACTGAGCCTAGGCCATCCGACGTCCGCCAATGAGTCTAGTCGTCTCCACAGCGTTTCTTCAAAAAAAAATTCCGAAAACCAATAAGAAAAAGAACATATACATGAAGATTCTAAACGATTATATAGGCAGTTCTTTCTTCTATATTTTTTTCTTTCTCATGCACTCTTCTTCTTCTTCTTCATGTATCACTCACTATAAAAAAGCGAAACTTCTTGGGCTCAAATATTTATGTGCGGTGCAAGGTGCATGGTTAGTAGGGGTACAAGTGTACTCTTTTAGTTCTAACTACGAAGTTGACCAGAGCCTGCTGGTGGTTAATGTCTGTGGATTTCAGGAGTATTGGGATTGCTTTTTCATTTTCTATGCCAGATTCTGTAATTTCTCTATAAGAAAGAGCGGGCACTTGCATAAAAAATGGTTGACTGTTTCTTTTTCATGCTCACAATTTGAACAATGACCAGTCTCATGTTGATTCAACTCAAATAGATTTACATTTAAACCTCAGTTCCCCATTCTTAGGCGATGGAGAATAGTTTCGTTACTTCTGTTGTTCAAGTAACACACAAATGTTTTTGATACCAGAGTTTGCGTTTCCCGTAGGGGGATGATGTTTCATTCCATCTTTTTTGCCATAGTTTCTATGTAGTATTTCTTTATAACATAGTTTGATTCTGCTCTGGTAAGAGCGTTGTTGATTTCTATTTTTTTAAAAATATTTAGTCCTGCTTTAGCAAACTTATCTGTTATCTCATTGTATTGTAAACCACAATGACTGGGAATCCATTCGAAATTGACCTGGGTGCCCTTGTATTTTAGTTGACTACACAGGGTTAGGATTTCAAGAACAAAAGATTCTCAATACGAGATTCTATGGCCTGGAGTGAACTCAATGAATCGGAAAAGATAACTGCCCCGGTGTAGAGTCCTGGGAGTTGTAATAACCATGTTAGGGCAAGTACAATTGCGGCCATCTCTGCTCTATAAGAAGATGTGAAATTAGCTAGTCTTTTAGATTGAGAAACATCATAATGAGGTACATGGAATGCAGCAGCAGCAGAGTCTTTATCCGGTGCTCTTGATCCATCTATTATGTAAATAATTATTCCATTTCGAATTTATCAATTCTAGGGCTACTTGTTTTGGGGCAAAACAGATATCTGATTTCGTTATAACCTCTTTTAGCTCCGATGACACTTGGGGAGAGAGCATTTGCCAAAAGGGTGTGTTGAAATAATACTTCATTGGATCTTCTAGTATGTGACTGAATAATAATAATAATAATAATAATATGTGACGATAATTGATAGTATTAATGCTTTATATATCATCACTAGTTCTTAAGCATTTCTAGACCATTTGGCGTATGCTCGACTTTTGATAACGTTAATTCTATTTTTGCATCTTTTACTAATATTTAATAAATGAGGCCTCCAAGTTATCCGTTTGTCAAAGGTGACGTCGAGACATTTGTGCTCTTTATGTGGTGTCAACTTTTGACCTCTTATATATAAATCGTAGTTATCATCATTTGTTTTGTTCGAAAATAAGATAGGGGTCGTTTTCTCTATCGACATAACAAGTCCAAATGGATTGACCCATGAGTTCATTGTTGTATAATCTGGATATTTTGTTTTACATCATGGCCTGATTCCCAAATTACGATGTCGTCTGCATAAATCAAGCTATGTATATCTGGTCTCAAAGGTATGTCACTTATCATTATATTAGAAAGGAGGGAGCTCAAAATGCTACCCTGGGGTAAGGGGGTAAACCGTTTTCAGGATGCGTAATTGCCGATTTGGCATTACCTATTTGCCAGTATGTAATAGTCTGGTTTTCAGAATGGTCGTACATTTTATGCTGCGCAAAGATTCAATATGTTTAATTTTGGCCAGAAGTGGGTTATTGATGTAGACAAATGCTCATGTACCATTTACAGCTCATTTTATGTATGTTATTACCAAAGAAGAACAAAAAGCCAGTCAGTCACTCAATAGTGTCTGACAGTGAAGCCTAGCAAGTAAACGGGTTTCCTTGCATACTTTAAATATTAGGACACTGCTAACGTTTAAATTTCACAGATATATAGGACATACATGACATATTCATAATTTCTGCAAAGTTCTACAAAATTTGATGTTGGCTGCAAAAGGGACATAGTATCTTTAAGCTTTGATTCATGGGTCCATCGAACTAAATAATAGAGTTCGATTTGCATTCTAAAAAGCGAAGTTATTTAGCAATTTCCAAAATAACAAAGGAATCATCGCTCCAAAAATACACATAATATTATTATAATACTAAACATTGTGCCTGGCTGGATGGCGGTGGCGCTTGGTTTTAATGGTGTAGGTGACTGTATTAGTGTATTTGAGACTTGATTCTTGACAAACTTTTATTAATGGGATATTTCTTCAATATAATAAGACTGAGTGATGTTATCGAACAACTTAACAAATAATATTGCATTTTCCTAAACAAACCAAGGAAATCTCGGTCTAAAGATACTAAAAAGAAGACTGAATGGCGGTGGCACTCGGTTTAATGATGTGTGTTTGTTTGAGACTATAATGACCTTTCACAGTGTTTCATTAATGGGATATATCTCGAATCAAATCAGACTAAGTGATATTATCGCACACCTCAACACCGTCAAAAATAATATATTTCCATTCCATTCAAGAGTATAATGTTCAACCATCTTACTTCTTTTCTGACTTTGATTCATGGGTTCATCGAACTAAAAAATAGAATTCGTTTTGCATTCTAAAAAGCAGAGTTATTTTGCAATTTCCAAAATAACAAAGGAAACATCGGTCTATAAATACACATAATTATATAATACTAAACATGGTGTCTGGCTGGATGGCGGTGGCGCTTGGTTTAATGGTGTACGTGACTGTATTTGAGACTTGATTCTTGACAAACTTTTATTAATGGGATATTTCTTCAATATAATAAGACTGAGTGATGTTATCGAACAACTTAACAAATAATATTGCATTTTCCTAAACAAACCAAGGAAATCTCGTTCTAAAGATACAAAAAAGAATATTGGATTGCGGTGGCAATCGGTTTAATGATGTAGGTTTGTTTGAGACTATAAGCCTTTACAATGTTTCATGAGGGCCCACAATTGCTCCGATCAATTGAAAAAGATATTGGAATCGCATATGTTAAAGCTCAATGAACGGTTTACAAGGCTAGACATTAATCTGGCTCAGCAGGTGGAGAACATTGAAAAGCGTTTTAAGGAGCTTTCAGAGGCCCTTAATTTCCAAACCGAGCATGAAAAAGGAGATAGCTCGTATAGAAAGCGAAATCAAAGAAGGACGGCCGTTAGAGAGAGAAAGGGAAATTGATAGACTTTCTACCTATATCTGCAGAGAGAAAGAGAAAGATGATATTGAAGAGGTGGTGAGAGAATTCAACAAAGTCAGTTTAACCGATGAACAGATTCAAGGTATTGAACACAGCCAGGGGCGTCTCCAAAGGGGGGGGGGGGTTGCGACACCCC